GGAGAGGCAGAGAGAGAGGGAAAGAGAGGATCTGAAGCAGACTTTTTGCTGACAGCAGCAAGCCTGACATAGGGCTTGCCCAGGAACCTCGAGATCATGACCTGAGCCGAAGTTAGATGCTTAACCGACTAAGCCACCCAGGTGCCTCCAAAGTATATATTTTCAAAAAGTTTTCTTTGGCCTTTCCCACTTTTTCTCCACAGAGGTGATCTCCTTCAGGTATTTTTGGTATTTCTTTCATTATCTAACTCCACATTTTTCAATGTGATCACATTTCTCAATGTTAGATGTATACCTAATGCTGTTTTGTTTAGATTCAGTAAAGACTGGCAGGTAGGATTTAAGTTCTCTTTATAGCACCTTGATTTTGCTTTACCTCCCCCTCTCCCATCCTCCCAATTAATTATATCACCATTTTTGCTTAAGTCAATACTCTGTGTTTGTTGAAATAATTATGATTCTGATGTAGCTTCCTGCTGAGTCAAATAGTATACTATTATTATGTTTCCTCTCAGAACTTTTCTTTTTCCTGGACGTAATAATTGCCCTATTTTTCCCCATTAGAATAGGTGTAAAGAAACTGAGCAAAATCTTCCTATGCTCTCTTCCCACAACCTTTTGATACACTTTTCCACTGTGCCAGTTGTGTCAGATTACCTGTCAGTCTACTTTTTTCCTGGAGCCCTTTGTCTTGTTATAATAGACAGATAGGCTCATTAAGCCTGCCACGCAGCTGTGATCCTAGAAATTTTTAACTCTCTCCAGCACTGAACCTCTTTTTTCCCGTGTCTCATGTTTTTTCTTGGCTTACATCCTCTTTTGGTGGCTGGCACACATTCTCCAGTAGCTTCACAAGAAAGGATACAGAAGAGGTAGTATTTTGTGAGTGTCTAAAACTACTTGTATCCCACCAACACATTGTTTGGCTGGGTAGAGATTTCTGGGTTGAAATTCATTTTTCTTCAGAATTGTGAAGCCATTGCTCCATCTTCTAAGGTTACCGTTGAGAATTTGGTACTATTGTTGTTCTTAATCTTTTGCGTCTACCCCCTCTTCTTTCTAAAAGCTTTGGAATCAGAATGCTCTCTTTCTCTATAGTGGTTTGAAATTTCACAATGATGCAGGGTCGTGTGGTCTTTTTTCTTTTTCTTTTTCTTGTTTTTTTTTTTTTTTTTTTTTTTTTTTTTTTTTTTTTTTTTTTTTTTTTTTTTTTTTTTTCATTTTCCTGGGTATTTGGTGGGCCCCTGGGAATGTGTCTTATCTCTTTGATCTCTCAGTTCTCACTTTCTGGAGAAAACGTTTGATCTTTCATCATCTCTTTCTTCGGTTGCACATCTCTTTGTATAACCTTTTTATTTTTTGGGAAATTGATTCACCTTCCTATTTTGAACTATTTTCTTTTTTTATATAGTAAGGAGAAACTTAATTTGGAAAGACTGTTTTTGGGGGTGGTGCATGGAGAGAGACTTTTGCAATGGGAGGGGGATGGTTGCAACAGAGAGTTGACTTCTGTGACCAGAGATCTGCAAGTGCCTCTTTCCTATTTTACTTTAGTATTATCTGTCAACTTTTTAATTTCCAGACATTCACCTTTGTTGTCATTGTTTTTTTTTAATTTCATTAATTTATTTTTTCTTTTCAAATTTTAATTTGAATTCTAGTTAGTTAACATACAGTGCAGTATTGGTTTCAGGAGTAGAATTCAGGAGTGATTCGTCACTCACATACAACACCCAGTGCTCATCCCAACAAGTGCCCTTCCTAATGCCCATCACCAGTCTATCCCATCCCCTCCCCACCTCCCTCCATCAACGTCAGTTTGTTCTCTATCATTAAGAGTCTCTTATGGTTTGTTTCCCTCTCTTTTATTCCCCCCCCCTTCTCATATGTTCACCTGTTTTGCTTCTTAAATTCCAGGCATTGTTTCTTCTCTTACCGTCCCCTTCCTACTCACTCAATCCCATTTTGTTCGCCTTCTGCTGCTGATTCTCTCCCTTCCCTCTCATTTTCCTCCCCTACCCCTTTAAGTTGCTTCCTCTTTTTGTCCCTCTTTCTCTAGCATTCTGTTCTTAATACATTGTTGTTATGTCTTCTCTTAACAATAAGGACATGAATTATGGAATTTTTTATTTTTCATTTACTTTGTTTGAGTTTTCTTCAGTGCCTCACTTTGTTTCCTCCAGATGGCTTTTACCTGTGTGTTTTGTTGTCTCCACTTGATGTCCATTCTTTTTTATTTAATTGTTTTTAATGTTTATTTATTTTTGAGAGAGAGATTAGACAGTGTGAGCTGGGGAGGGTCAGAGAGAGGGAGACACAGAATCCAAAGCAGGCTCCAGGCTCTGAACGTCAGCACAGACCGTGAGATCATGACCTGACCCGAAGTTGGACACCGAACTGACTGAGCCACCTAGGCGCTCCTTTTTTTTTTTTTTAAATGTTTTATTTATTTTTGAGAGAGAGAGACAGAGCATGAGTGGGGGAGGGGCAGAACAGTCAGTGATTGTAGGTTTCCAGAGAGCTGTTCTGTTCATTTATTTATTTATTTTTTAACGGTTTTTTTTGTTTGTTTTGTTTTTTTTGTTTTTGAGACAGGGAGAGACAGAGCATGAACAGGGGAGGGTCAGAGAGAGGGAGACACAGAATCTGAAAGAGGCTCCAGGCTCTGAGCTGTCAGCACAGAGCCCAGCGCGGGGCTCAAACTCATGGACCGCGAGATCATAACCTGAGCCGAAGTTGGCCGCTTAACCGACTGAGCCACCCAGGCGCCCCTGTTCTGTTCCTTTAAAGAACAAAGATCGGGGCGCCTTGGTGGCTCAGTCAGTTAAGCGTCTGACTTCAGGCCCAAGTCATGGTCTCACAGTTTGTGAGTTCGAGCCGCACATCGGGCTCTCTGTTGTCAACACAGAGCCTGCTTCGGATCCTCTGTCCCCCTCCCTTTTCCCTTCCCCTGCTTGGGCTCTCTCTCTCAAAAATAAATAAACATTAAAAAAACCCCAGATTTTCCAGTATCCTCAATGTAAATAAAAATTACCCTTTATTTACTTATTTGTAGATGTTGGTATCTTAACATCACATTTCCATAGAAGGTTGCACAGCTCAGTTTATT